CTACTATCACCCGCTGCTCCGAGCAGGTAAACACCAGACTGACACGGACCTTTAAGGCCAAACACAAGCCAGACGCCAATCTTAATCCCTCTGTGGTGACACGGTTGTTTCTTTGTTGCACACGCTGTGTTTGACCTCTAATGCTGGTCAAACGTATTTCTACACACATTCAGCGACATGTTCATACTACACACAACAGGTGCAACTGCAGGAAAAGCAGACTCTTGGAAATCTGAACAAAGTATACTTATTTTTGAGGATTTATCCAGGTGAAGCACAAATAAAAGATAAACGATGCCACACACTAGAACATCAGCACTGGCGTCAGTGGCTTAGATGAACCCCAGCCTCTGGAAATAACTGGTAAAATAAAAGAAAATCTGATCGTGCTTCGCTCTAAAAACAACAGTCATTCCACCTCAACCACAGGAAACCCAATATCTCCACACAACACACACTTCCTGCACAGTTTCCTGCTTCCTTTGTTGCAGGGAAAGAAGGGAGTGGTCGCTGATGTCACTGTGAGTCTGCTGAAATGCGGTTTTCACATCCTATGGGAAAGAAGGTGGATATGAGCTTCCTCCCTCGTGATTAAATATTATCTCAGACTTAGATAGTGTTTATTAAGTGAAAAGAACTGGTGGTTTGATTTTACTTTTGGCTAAAGAAGAAAGCGCATCTTAAATGCACAATAATAATAAGTCTTCAATAATATTCAAATAATTTCCATAGTCCATCAAGGTACTTTTTATATTCACATGGAGCAAAGACAGCAGCTGAGGAATATATGGAATCTGGAGTCAGTCATTCTTTCCATCTTTCTCGTTTTTTAAAAATCCTCTAAATCCAGGCAGAAATGTAGAAATTGTCCATTAAACTAAGAGCAGAGGTGTAAGAGAGCCTCCTCCACACACGGCTGTGTTTCTGCTATGTACGATTTCCAGCACCCACCCTGCAATGCTGTAAAGCACTTTTAATTTGAAATGACAGATACAGGAAGCAGAGTCACGTGGCAACACACAGCTGAGGTGAAACAGAGACAGAGGGGAAGAAGATGAAAATAAAGAATGTCAGATTTTACTAACTAAGAATAAGTTAGATTTATGTGTATTAGTATTTGGGCACAAACAAACCAGGTGCCCAGACTAAGCACTAGGCATGCTGGGAAATACCCCTGCGGGTCATTGCATTGGTGCCCCTCTGGTCTGCTGAAATAACCCCTCGCAGAAACACTGCCTATTAAACTTGTTGTTCAGCACAGTCATTCACACCATCACGTGACTGTCACCGCAAACTGCAATTACGGGAGACGCGAGGTGGCTTTCAGAGTTCTTATTACATCATCTGCAGGTTTCAGAAAGAAAAATCCAAGACTGTAAGCAAACTGAAGTTACAAGATAACTTCAACACCAAGGAATACTAGACCGTAGTAAGAAAGCCCCAAAGTGTGTATGAAGTGTCTTAACCCTGTTACTGGAAGTACAACGTTGTACTGTTTAAGCCATTTATTTCTTTTAAAATACAGTATTCAAATTTAGGAACAAAATACTCTCCTGCAGACACTGTGCTATTGGATTCTCCAAGTCCGTCATTACAAACTAACAAGCATCAAGCCTCCTTGTGTGTGAAAGAACTATTACAAACTTAATGTAGAACCGACCCTGCTACCATTCTTCAGATTGCAGAGGGTGTCGTCTGGTGAGGTGGTCTAGAGGTTTTCGAGCAAAACCCATCAAGAACTGGACAAACCAAAAAAAAAACATCCACTGTTCCACTTTTAAACCGTAAGACTCTTGAGTTCAGAGAAAGAAAAGGAATAAAAATACCTTAGGACAGCACTCAGGACGAGTGGAGGAGCTTTAAAACGCACCCACGTCACGCAAATAAAAAGGTACAGTCCAACAGATTTGTCTTTGCCTCACTTTCAATCAAAGCGTGATAATAAGATACAACCCGATTTACCCGAATCAGCTCTAATCTGAGGGGAAACTCACCAACATCATCATGGAACCACAGCTTCAAACTGCTCCTGCAGTGGAAAATCTCAGACCTGCCTGATAAACACCAGCACATGTAATCACTTGCTTTAATAGTACCACCTGATAATTGCCACAGCCACTTCCTACGGCATAATTGTATTGCTCGATACAAAGAGCCTGAGTGCACAGTGACGAACTGCTGCTGAGTTAATTTATAAGATGATACGCATCATCTACTCTCTATCATCTCCCACTGTCTCCTGCACGCGTGTATACAAGGTCTACTCGTCCTGCACAATGTGTGTCACGATGTACAGTTAGTGTTTTAGATATGTGCCTCCGGTACTTTTGTTTATGAGTCGTTTCGCTTCACAGCATGTACCAAAGCTTGTAAACAAAAAGCCCAGCACGTGTAATTAGGTATCAAGACATAATTTATGAATTTTAAAAGGTTCCAAATGTGTAACAAATAAGATTTTTGTTTTTAGATTCTGCCCGCCAGATCCTGAATAGTTGCTGCTGTGTATTATTTATGTATGACAAGTTATATTTAGCAGAATCTTGACAACAACTTCTCCCTTATGCAAAGCTTTCCAAGCACAAGGAACTGCTGGATGTCAGCTGTCAACACTCCAACTCTTATGCACATAAAACCCCTGTGTTTTGAGAGGGATTCCTGCGGATGCTGCAGAGCAGACTGTGCTAACAATCCCTAAGAGCAGTGTGCCTCTTCTTACAGGAAGGAATACGTCATTGTTTGAGACACGTAGCAGGTATTAAATACTGCCATATTGAGAGAGGTGAAGAAATTAAACCAGACTGCTGAAGGCAAAGATATGTCCAGTTTCTTGATTGTGCTTATGTTGACTTTTGACTCCAGGCATTGTGAACCTAGAGAATAAATACAAGACTGAAGCAAAGTACATTTTCCCACAATGTTTTTATCCAAGTTAAACAAACTGCAGTGCATCTATTGTTTTGTAAATTTCAATCGCAGTGTTTATTGAATCCTACAAAAGATAAGTTCCACGTCTGTGCCTGCTGTGAATCCCCACGTGACACAAGTGCCTGTTATGTTATAATGAGCAGCACAATAAGTCCCACAGCAGGACTGGTTCAGTTTGGGTTGCAAGATTAACAAGTTTGAGAACCTTTGCTCCAGACTAATAAGCCATCCATGGCTAATCTAATCACACGAATGATCTCACCTCTCTCGGTGGAAGTTTTGGTCTTAAATTAAACATTTTCAATTTATCGGATATGTCGATTCTGTGGCGGCAGATCAATCCTGGCGTCAGCATCGATCAGAGACGATACCGTCAATATCAGACACGGTATATTTAATGCACAGCCACATTCAGGAGCAGTCTAGACAGTGTGAAGGACACTTGTGCAGCCTGGGGGCTCGACCAGCTGACATATGGGGAGGGTGTGGCAAGGAAGACCGTGCATCTGCTAACATTTAATCATGTTCTACTGGACTAAACTCTGAACCGTCCTCAGGAGCGGCAAGCGGCCGAGGCAGTGCTCCTCATACAGTGAGGGACTTGCAGCGAAAGGCTGCATTGGGTTAATCATTCCACACAGAATGAGAGGTTGTGTGTGCACTTCACCACCCAGGCCAACGGCTTCAATCCTGATGAATTAATCGGCTCAAGAAGAGGAGTGGGGACCCTGTGCACCCCCCTCCCTCCTTGCACCCTCATCCAAGGAGAGGTGGGGTGGGGGGTGGGGGTGGCTGCCCGCCGAAAAAGATTAAAAAAACACACAATCACAGTCAAAGCTATAAATCAGAACTAATATCCATGAGATGCACCAGGGGCAGGGTGAGGTTGGGTGTTCGGTGAACTCGTGTAAGAGTCTGGAAACATCAGCAGGACGAGTGAAGTCTGCAGGCAGGACTTCTCTCGTGCCCTCGTGTTTGTGGTGAGCAGCCTGAGTGCACAGCACTGCTCCTCGGTGTGTTGCAGGGTCAGATCCTCGCTGGTCAAACAGGCAGCTCCCGAGCAGCCTGCTGGCTTCAGGACAATGCAGGTTCGACGTGACGCGGGCAGGTTGCACGTTTGCACCGGCTGCACGGTGACTTTGTTTTCGGGGGGGGGGGGCTGGCATCCTCTGCTTCCAACCTCCCCCCCTGATGGAAGCGTTCACCTCCAGCGTGTTGCTAATACTTTAAGCTTTTATCTATTTGCCCTGCGTATCAAACCACCTCGCCGTGTTCCAGGGTTCGTCAGCCATTGCGGGGCACCGCTGCGAGCCACGCAGCTAACGCAGCCCGCGGTTTGACTTTCTCCTTTAAAACACAAACGACGTGTTTTCAGCCATTAATGATCTCCGTCGGCTCACAATGCTAATGTTTGCTCCACAGGTAAATGTACTTGCCCGCTAGCTAGCTAGCCCCGATACGTGCCGTTCCCTCTTGTGTTGGAGATAGCGCACCAAACTCCCATTCAAAAATCCGGTGGTTTCAGCGTCACCTCTCTTTTCTCACACATGCACACTCCTGGAAACATAATCTAACGTAATAACTATAAACCAGACGTGATCACTTCACATTCGGCGTTATTTATTATCCTCTAAAGGATCAACACTGGGAATTATTCCTTTTATTTGCTAAAAAAGCACAGTTGTGGGCGGTAGCTAGCAGCTAGCTACGTTTGTGTGAAGTGTTTCTTAAATAAAGATTAATTTATTTGATAAAAATGTGCTAATCAATGGACACGTTCCGGTTAGTGACAACAGAAACCAAAACATTAGCTCAATTTGAGCATTTAATGTAAAACCAGTGTCTGTTACAACGGAGTAAATCACCAGATTTCTCAATGGAGTTTGGCACTGGTTCCCTCCAGGCACGTACCGGGACTCACCACCGAGTAAACCGCGCTGCCCGCAACCGCTTCCCTCAGGTTTCAGACCCGGGCGTCAACCAGCGGCGGTGTTTCGGTTCCCCCCCCACACTAACCCGCAGGAGAGGGCCCGCAGGTCCGCGGCCTCTCCTGGCTCCCCGGGCCGGTCTCCTACCTCTGTGGGGCGGCTGATCTCGAACAGGTCGAGCCGGTTGGCGTTCCAGTGGTTGATGATGTCGGCCAGTTTCCTCCTCTCCTCCTCCCTGCTCCCCGTCATGGTGGACAGCGTTAGAGGCCCCGTCCGTCCGTGTGTGCCGCCGGATAAAAACCACGTCCCGTACCGATAGTCCACACCGGAGGAAGAGAAGCGGAGCCGCGGACACCGAGAGGCTCCAGCCGTGTGGTCACCGGGACTCTGCGCGTTCCCTCTCTCTCTCTCTGCTCCCGATCCGCGCTCCCGCTTCCGCTCTGCGCGCTCCCGAAGCACTCTGGAAAGCTGGTGTGTGAACGCGCAGCAAACTGTTAACTGTTTGAGAGCCAATAAACTTTTATTTAAAATTATCTCTACTGGTCATTTTCTATTTTAAATTATCTTTACTGGTCATTTTCTATTTTTTTAAATTATCTCTACTGGTCATTTTCTATTTTAAATTATCTTTACTGGTCATTTTCTATTTTTTTAAATTATCTCTACTGGTCATTTTCTATTTTAAATTATCTTTACTGGTCATTTTCTATTTTTTTAAATTATCTTTACTGGTCATTTTTATTTTTTTAAATTATCTCTACTGGTCATTTTCTATTTTAAATTATCTCTACTGGTCATTTTCATTTTTTTAAATTATCTTTACTGGTCATTTTCTATTTTAAATTATCTCTACTGGTCATTTTTATTTTTTTAAATTATCTTTACTGGTCATTTTCATTTTTTTAAATTATCTTTACTGGTCATTTTCATTTTTTAAGGATGTTTCTACTGCTCATGTTCAACATGTTTAAACTGTGTTAATGTTCAATGAACCAAAAATTACAGAAAATGACAAATAACAATAGTAAACAGTTGCAGGACGATGCAGAAACTCCAGTGGGCTCGAGCTAATTAAAGTAAAAATAAAGATCTCACAAAATTAGAAAACACAAAGTTGACATGCAGATAGTGACGTAACTACATCTGAGTGACAACATAACAATATGAACAACAATAATAATAATAATAATTGTTATTATTCATCTGGACGCTCGTCTGTGAACACACAGAAACTGTGAACTGTTTCAGAGCCAATAAACATGATGATGCTGCTGCTTCACTAAACACACTCACTGCAAAGAGTTAATACTGAGAGGGATTACGTCAGTGTATGTTAATTAAAGCCTTTTTTTATTTAAGCCTATTTCTACTGCTCAGGTTCAACTACATATTTGAATACTACTCATGTCTAATAAACCAATGACGTTATCTCTTTTATGTGTTGAATACATAGAAATGACAAGATAACAAATAACATTTGGTGCCGAGGAGGTAGAAAAACCCTGTGGTCTAATTTGAGGCCTTTAAAAATAAAAATAAAGGTTTTACAAACACTAACAATAACATCTAGAAAATGGTATGACAGCAAAAATAATAACACAAAGCATGAGTGAGATAAAACAGACATTTCTCACAGTTTTTCTCAAATCAGAAAGGTTTATGTTTCAAACAGTGTCAGAGGAACAGTCTCTGTTTTCTCCTGATCCAGGCCGGACCACAAGGTGCTGAATGCCACACAATGCTGCCAAGAACCTCTGTCCAACAACACACACACTAAAATCCAGACGCACATCTTAAAGGACGGACAAGCTTTTGTTTGCAATCTGATAACTCCGGTCACTACAGGATGTCTTTCTTTCTATCAACACACTCGACATAACAATCAGCAAAGGCTCATTTCCTTTTCATCTGTGTGTGTTGGTGTGTGTGTGTGTGAGACAGAGTTCTCAGTTATGTAAAAACCACCTCTTTATTAACACACGACTGTCAGGGACCCTGAGAGGTCACCAGATATCAGTAGATACTCGTGAAGTGTCAAGAATACAGCAGTGATCACATCTTTAAAAATAGAGCAGTGAGTCCCCCCCCCCCCCCCC